GAATTTAAGGAGATTGTGGTCAGACAGCGGAGATGTTGAAGCACATTAATATGATTGTCTGGCTTATTTTGTGGCTATAGAAATATGTGGTTGAAATGAATGGAAACAAATGCCATCAGAGATGTAAAATATTGGATATAAAATTCAAAATGTAAAATTGAAAGGAAGTGGTACAGTTTGGTCAGAGAGGAGTATTGGAATTTAGGTGCCATAACTAGAGAATAAGGAAAATGACCAAGAGATTGATAAAACAGGGGGCTTGGGAGAGTCAAAGACCTAAACAACATAAGCCACTAACAAGCAGAGGTAATGACCTAAAAACAGTGTTAAAGAATAAGGGAGACGTGAACCCAGTTCTGTATCATTTTAAGTGTTGTGTGGGGCACTGTTGCTTGAAAGAAAATGCCAGTAATAGTATGTCCTCAGAGAAAACACGTTTACACTTAAAGTTAGGAAATATAGAGAGCAATCACTGAAAAACTGAACAAAATAGGCAGATTGTGAATCAAGAAATACACCTGGAATCTTCAAAAATGAACCCTTACTCTAATTTCATTTTTTCCACAGCATTTCTGGGATTCCCTGACATGTGTTATATTATGCCTAAAGTTTAAAATGGGATCAAAATTTTCAGTGGGGAAGACATGTAGAATATCATGAAGGAAAGTTTGAGAGCTGATAGGACAGGCTGGAGGCTTATTTTTGTTGTTAACCAAAGAAAATATGCACACAAGATTACTGCAAATCTGCTATTTCCTAAGGGAGGAGGGGGTTCTCACTTCTCCACTTTGAAATGAGACTTGGTAGTAGTCACGAGGGCTAAGACTTTCTTATTGTCTTTTACTTATTTTCATTCTGTCTTATGAGTTGTAATTTGCAAGCAAAAGATTTTATCTACTTTCAGTACTGTATTTTGACATGAACTTTGACAAATGTATTCCTGTTTTCCACCACAATCAAAGTATTGAATGTGTGAAATTCCGGGAAAAACGTCCTGTGTCCCTTTATAGTCAGTGTGTCCACCTAGCCCCTAGGCAGCTATGGGGCTGGTTTGTTAACAGAGATTTCTTTTGCCTCCCTAAGATTTCATGTAAATGAAATACTAGAACACATCGTTTGTGTCTTGAGTCTTTTGCTTAGTGTAACATTTTGAGACTTATTCATACCCCTGTATGTATTAGTAGTTCCTTCTTTCTTATGGAAGTGTGTGTATATATATACTTTTTTTTTTCTTTATAAAGAACTGCTAAGCTGCTTTCCAAAGTGAATGTACCATTTTCCATTACCAAAAAAAAGTTTTATTTAACCATGTCACTACCAACGTGTGGCTTTAAAAACATTTTAATCATACCAGTGGATAGTGAATCTGATAGTTTGATTTTGCATTTCTAAGGTGGCTAATGACATTGACTATATATTCACATATATGTTGGTTATTTTTATAACTTTTAGAAAAATTATTTATCTCTTGACTGCTTTTATAAATTGGACAGTTTTCTTAATAAATTATAATTTTCTTAATATAGTCTGGACAAGTTCTTTGACATAATGGCATGTACGTGTTTGTGTGCACATACATAGATAAAATTTTCTTTTTGTTGTTTATCCCCTTCTTTTCCTAATGGTGTATTTTGAAGAGTAAACTTTTAAATGTCCATGAGTTTCAATTTATCAGTATTTTTTTTGGAGAGATTTTCGTTATAGGGCGCGTGCGCTCGCCAGACAGACAGAGAGAGACATAGAGACAGAAAGCGAGAAATCACCCCCCAGGGGGGATGGTCACGCCGCAATCCCTTCTCCTCCATTCTCCTCTCGGGATCTTGGGCATGCACGCACACGCGCCCGGCGTGAGTTCTAAGCCACCGGGTCCGGGACGCGAACCACGGTCAACTACGTGGGAGTCCAGCGACATAGCCATTACGCTAACTGCTGGTTCCCAATTTATCAGTATTTTTATGTTGTGTTCTTTTTGTTTCCAAAGATATCTTTGCTTATCCAAAGATTATGACCAAAGACAATGAAGATTTACTTTTTTCTTCTAAAATTTTTTAATGTTAGTATTGAATTTAATTTTATGGTTCATTTCCAGTTAATTTTTCAAAATGAAATAAAATAAGGGTCAAAGCTCAGTGCTTCCATAACGATTTCCAATAGTTCTTACGCTATTTGTTGAAACTATTACTTTTTCTTCCTTTAATTGTCATGGCACCTTTATGAAAACCAGTTGATCTTATGCGTACATCTACTTAGGACTCTCTTCTCTGCTGCCATTCTAGACACACTTTAAGATAATGCAAGTCCCCCAATTTTTTCTTTTTCTGAAAATTGTTTTAGCTATTTTAAATCCTTTGTATTTCTACACTAATGATAAAGTCAAGTTGTCAAATCAGCTAGTCAATTTCTACAAATAAGAATATGCTGGAATTTTAATTGGAATTGAGTTGAATCTGCAAGTAGATTTGGGAAGTACTAACATGTTAATAGCATTGGATCTGTCAATCCACTAAAACAGTGTGTATATTTATTTATTCATTTAATCTTTTACTTTGTCTCATTTTTTCCTAGTTTTTATGTGTACAGGTTCTTCACATGTTTTGCTGACTATGTTCCTACATGTTTAGAATATTTAAAATAGTTCAATTTTACATATTTATTTTATAATTATTTATTAGTTAATTGCTTCTAATTTTGATCATCTCAAACTAATAGTTTTTGAACATATTCTATACGTAGTCACTTGCTTTATTCTGGAGTTATCATGGTGAGTAAAATCATAGGCCTTCTTTGTCTCCTCCTTTTTTTAAAAGTTACTTGTTCACTCTGTGAGCGTGTGTGAGAGAAAGATACATAGAAAGAGCATCCCAATAGAATCTTGACACCATGATCCAACTTAGCCCCGCCATCCCGAGTCATAGGCGCACTAGTGCCTGTACACTCCAGAAGGGCTCTGGACGTTACCTGGCAAGCTTTTCATGAGGGTTTGCCTGGCAGAGCATCACATTTTACCACTGTGCCACCATGTAGCTTGCCTCTCTGCCTTTTTAAAGTTAATAGTCTAGTGGAGGAGACAGATATTGATGAACAGGAGGAGTACTGCCATTCTTTAAAATATATAATCAAGCAGTTTCTCTTCATGAAAGAGAGGAGAGAAAGATTTCTTATGAAAGTAAAAGGTAGTTGCAATCTGAAGGATGAACAAGTGTTGACTAGATGAAAAGGGGAGGGGGGCACTTTCTACCCAGAAGAGTGTGAGCAAAACTCTTGTAGTGGGAATGAACACAGTGAAACTATGGGAAATGACCATGATAGGAGAGAGTAGGAGAAGCATGTAGATTAGCTTGCAAGATATCTTGGTGGCCAGATCATGATCTTGATGCCATGTTTGTCCTTAGTCTAAATGATTTTAAGCAGGTACATAGCATTATTATGATAGCTTTTTAAAAAGGTAAATATGACTGTCATGTGGAGAGTAGACTGGAGTGGAGTCATATTAAATGAAAGTTGCTATAGTCCATGATGGTGGCTTAAAATAGAGTGGTAAATTGAGAATGAAAAAAAAAATTAATATATTCTGGAGGTAATTCAAAGGGATAAAAGGGTTAGTGATAAACTAGATATGGCAGGGAAGGGAGAGGGAGGGGCTGAGGAAGGTATCAATGTTCAAATGTATGGCAGTGATATTTTTAAGAGATGATAAATATATAGTGGATATATGTGTTTGGAGGGCAGAAAAAAGGTCTACGTAGGGGAAAATAAGCATTTACAGTCTAAAGGAGTATAATTGTCAGATGAAGTCCTAGGTAAAGATAAAATAATCTTGTTAAGGATTATAGAATGAAAGGAAAGAGAGCTGCTCTCAATTCCTGTTTTCTCTCTTTATAATTTAAATACGTTTTAGCTATAAGTGTGTCAAGGCTGCCCTGTTTAGCTTGTATTTTTTTCCCCTGAAGAGTTCTTTATCAATTTTTCTATTGTGACTTTTTGTTTTGTTTTGCGTTACATTTGTAATAGCATACATACAGTGTTGCACTTGTAATTTTATTTGAAGAGATGTATTATAATATCGGCATTCATAATATACTAAAATTGCTCAGCATATATAAGAGTATTTCAGAAATTCAGCCTTTTAATTATTTATTGCTATTATTATAAAAATTTCTAGTTGTTTATTTCTTATTTATTTTTTATTTTGTAAAATCACACTATAATTTGAGGCATCACAACTCTAAACAGTATTTCATTACTACAAGTGAGAAGTAAAAAGTAACCTGATAATACATAAATTGGCCATTCCCCTTTTAGATGCCATATATTATTTTATTTATTCATAAAGCAATTCTTAATCTGGGAGCTGAGCCAGTAAATTGATTTCATTTTCATTACTTATAACAGCTTTTTGGATAAGAACCATTGTTTTAACTTAGTAAAACTGGGTAACTGTTTCCTGACAACCTACAGGAAAAAATATGATTTCCTATAATAAAACACTGAACTACATCCAACTCAGAGAAATATGCTGAATTCATAAACAGAAAATTAAATGCTTTAATGTAGAATGAATATAGATATTATGGCCACTGGAATTGTCTTTTAACTTGAGCTGCTATTACTTATGCAAAATGTCCAAGGAAGATGAATAGTCCATTGTTGAACTCATTGAACAAAAAGCTTTGATTTCTAACAGTGATTTTAATCAAGACTCATTATATGACTTAGAATAAGATACTTAAATATTCCATGCCTCTGTTCCGTCATCAGTGAACCAGGAAGACAAATATACTTTCTCTTTGTCCTTGAACTCTTAAAGTTGTAAAGAATAACAATGCTAGAGTATCCCGCTAATATAAATGCAAACACTTCATAACTTAAATATTAAACTCAAGCATCTGTTAGATAAATTAATATTAAAATAAATTAGAGGCATATACAGACCAAAACATTCTTAAATGCTATACCTATCAAAATGTGCGCTCCATCTTTATCAGGGTAACTCTTTATAGTCCACAGGCTCACTGTTAAAGCAGAGGGAAGCAGCGTCTTGAATGTGAAGAGAAACCATAGACATGAGATCCAAAAGCCAGGAGGCTTTGTTTAATGATTACAAGTTGAAAGGTAATCTGGCCATCAAGTCTTGAGCTACTGGAAAAGACATCTTGATATATCTTCACTTAGGAACTTCAGATATGGAGACAGATCATTCTTTATTTGGAATTGTTTTTCATTCTTGTTCTTTGGTAGCAGGGTATATGTAAGTTTTGCTCATTGCTAAACGATTTCACAGTCCCTTGCATATACTGATGTTAGATAGATATCCAAAGAAAGCATGCTATCAGCAAAGGTATACCCTCATATATTCATTAACTGTTTTTAAAGAAATAGTTTTAAGTTTAGGTAGTAAGTGTTCTAGGTTTAAGGATACAAAGATGTATTAGACAGTCTTGGGAGTGCAAGGTCTTTCAGAGTAGACAGGCATACAAAAAAGTGTAATTATGGTCACAAACATGGTAAGACAGCTATATTGATACATGTGTCTTTTTTTTTGTTGTTGTTAGTGGGCATCTGGGAGAGAGAGAGAGAGAGAGAGAGAGAGAGAGAGAGAGAGAGGAAACACACTCCATTGGGGCATGGACATTCTGCAATTCTTTTTTTTTCTCCATTTCTCCATCCTGTCAGGTATGGAGTATGCTTGCACATGCTCTTGGTGTGTTTTTCAAACCTCCAGAACTGGAATTTAAACCGCAGTTGGCCATGTGGTATGTGGCCTTTATGTACAGCACTTAACCACTGTGCTATAGGCTGGCCCTAGGTGATATTTTTGCATGATGTCATTCTTTTTGAGGAATGCACTCTCTAACAATAGTGTAAGAATTAAAGACATCTTTGGAATTCTTTTGGAAATAGTTTGTTATATTTAAGATTTTACTACATCTTGTGTGTGTGTGTGTTTAGTTTATTATGCCAACTGGTGATGTGATTGTTAAGGCATCACCCTGTGCCGACTGTACAGTTCAAATACCAGACCTGCAGCTTAAGTAACATGCTGGGTATATGTGCCTGTGCCCGAAATCCCAAGAGGACAGTGGAGGAGAAAGGATTGTAGTGTGGCCATCTGCCCTGCCTCTCTCTCCAACGAGCACATGTGCCCTATAGTGAATTACAAGAAAAAAAAGTTTATTTCCTTCATGCCAGAGAGGGAGAGAAAAAGAGAGAAAGAAAGAAACACAGGACCTCTGTCCCTCAAGAGGGTCTCATGCCATAATCCTCCCCCAAGTTTTCCTACCCAGTTGGATCACTGACATGCCTGCACACAGCCACATGTACAGGTGAACCTGAAAACTGAATTCTGATTTCCATGTGGATCTAGCATCACTGAATGGCAGGCTACCACCGCACCACTGCAGCTCAGCTGGCCCTGCTACTTCATCCCTAAGCCAAAATGGATATTTTGGTCTATATTCATTAATCTTTTGGAGAAGACATCTTATCAACTTTTCAACATTAAAAAAAAAATCACACCTACATTCTAGTATGTCACTAATGTGAGGGGTATTTAGGGATAGCAATCCAGGTTCAGATGCGAAAAATGTTGTAGCCAATCTTCTTATTCACTCTGCTCCTGCATCCATTGCTTGGACACACAGATAAGGGACCAAAAAGGATCTAACATCTATGTCAATCTTTCATTCATACTGTCATTTATTTATTTGATAGATGTTTATTAAGCGTTTATATGTAGGTAATGCGCTGAACATTGGGCAAATAGTGATGAATAGAACTGATTCTTCCTTATAGAAATAACTTGATCTAAAGGCCTGAGACTAAAGTAGGATTTCTACTTCTTCCTCCATAAATTGAAGATAGCAACGTTTAGAGTGCTAATGCAATCAGGTTGCCACCTTAATTATAGTCGGAAAAGCTGGAGAAGAAATGGGAAGCCTTCCCCGCTGTGAGGTCTCCCACCTTAGTGTTTTCCAATGAAGGGAAATACAAATGTGAGCTCAGAGAAGAAAATGAATTGAGGAGCCTGGCTGGGTCTTGAGTCATAGACTGACCCAGGTGAGTAAAACATGGCATATACACTACAGAGGATGTACAACAGGATGAGGAATGAAATAAAGAGAAAGCATAAAGCATTACTGTTCTAGTCTGTTCCACTGCTAACAACAACAACTAAACACCTGATTTTGGGTGATTTATACAAATAGAGGTTTATTCAGCTCATGGTTTGGAGGACCGAGGTCCAGGGGCACATCTGTTAAGGGTTTTGTAGTTGGTTGGATTCTGAGACTACACGGAGAGGGTGTGGAGTCACGAGAGAACAGGAGAGTGCAGCCGTATCCATGTGTGCTTCTTCTGATCTCCCTCCTTCTCCTTACCATGCCACCACACTCAGAGGTCCACCCTCATCACTTAATCACGCATACAGGTCCCACTTTTTAATACCATGATGGTATTAAGTTTCTTCTTAACACCATCACCATACCATCAAGTTCTAACACATTTCAAAAAGACACCCAGACTATAGCAAATTTCATGTAATAGAAACATCATAAAAGGAAACATAAAATGAAAATATTTGAGCATAAAATTCAAGTGGCAAGATTGATAAATGGTAGTGAAATTTGGGGTGAAAAATTTATTTAAGTTGGCATAAGTGAGACTTCAAAGAAATGTCATTTGAGCTTGTCCTAGAAGTGCTTATTTTATTCAGCAGCTAACAAACATTGACTAAAAGGTTGGTGACCTGGTAGTAATGAGACTGGTGGGCTCACTTACAAAAATGAAGGCTGAAATGAATGGGAATTTTTAGTCTGAACCACTGACTGTATGGCACAAATCTTC